CATAGGAGTATATACTGTTTGAATAAATTCAACAAAAATTTTTGAGCTCTCTACTGGGAATGATTGTTTTTGTGTATAGTGTCAAGATCCATACTGCTGTTGCCAGCTACCTTGCATGACAAATAGGGCCTAAAAATATAATCTTTTATATATAAAAATCAACTAATTGTATAATTTAAAAGTAAATTATATATTAATAAATATATATTTACATAAACTTCAAACAAACAAAATAAAAGGAAAAATATTAAGAACAAATAATTTACAAAATAACACCTATTTTTTTTCTCAGATACTTATTGTCTGAAAACCCTCTAGAAATTCCAATACTGTATTCCAGAAGCATTCTCTGGTCAGCAGAGAGGTCTTAATTGACACACGGAGGAGGATATTCAACATCTGTCTCAACTTGTATGAAGTCAACAGTTGAATTTAAATGAATTGGATTTGTCAAAGATTTTCCAACTGGTCCTTTAAAACATTATTATTATTTGATCAGACAAAAGAGATAACATTGGCCTTTACCTGATTCAATTGTGAATGTCAAGTGGTCTACAGTGCTGGTAGATTTACAAAGTTTTATTTCACCATCAATATCTCTCTGTTCATAAACCAATGAGTTTTTATTATGTTTGCTATCCAAACCAATTGCCTTTATATTTGAAACTTTAGATTGCTCAAAACTAGCATTAAAACATACACGTTCTTTCTCTCTCTTCATTTTACTTGGATCAATTACATCATTTAGATGTAGATAACCAATATCTTGAAGTAGAGCATATGATATTCAATATCTAATTACCTCTAAAAGCAAATTTGCGATAGTGGATAGTGTTATAGTACTTTGATCTAGTCTGATTTAATGATGAAATTGAAGTTTCACTCTGTAATTATAAAAAAAATTACAAAACTTCCAGAAATTAAAAATCATGACAATGAAAATTTTACATTTAATTGCATTAACATTTAAGATGCTCTAATTAACTTTAGAGCATTATATTTAAATTTCTTCATCAGAAGCTTTTGTTTACTTTGTTTTTCTTGAGGTAGGTGATAAAACAGAGTATTCAATACCTCCTATTTGAAACTTTCCTTTAGTACCAATTTTCTCCCTTTAGTCTTTTATATAGGAGTGCTCTTCCAAAGGAACCTAAATAATTATTTGTGGTTTTGAATAATATTTTCAATTCATTTGTGTAAAACGTGTTATTATCTAAAAATATAAATAATAATAATAAAATATAAAAAAGTCTATCAAATAAAAATTTAATAAGTTATTTAAAGTTTAATTTAAAATATATTACTTTAAACTTGTATAACTTACTTTTTTACTACCAACACAACTACAGTAATGATGCACATTTGAACAACCTGAGCATTTGATATTTCTGTCATCACAAGGAAGAACTTCAAGCTAGCAGATCAAAAAGTTTTTCTTTATTTTTTTCCAACAATTTTTTGGTCAAAGGTTTAATTTTATTTTCATTCCAAGAAATAACATTGCTACATCACCATAAGTTGCTAGATCTGTAATAGGATGATCAGAAGGGCTACTACCATATAAATTACACATTCTAGTTCTTCTTACAGGAGGCATTTTTGTATTATTGTAATAAATTAAGTTTGATAATATAGTTAATAAATATTATTGATTTTATAACTCCTTAAAAATAACAGTAAAACGCTTGCACAAGGTTTAATTTATAATTTGATACACTGCTTTTTGGTTTGTTTACATTTTTTTAAGGCCGGATATCATAATAAACAGGGTGTCAACTCTAAAAAAACTTGCAAAAATGTATGACTATTTTTAAAAAACACAATTGAATAACTGGAAAATGTATTTTTCATAATTATTGAATCAATGGTGCATCTTTAGCATGCTTTTCAAAACAGTCCTTTCTAGTTTTTTCAGTTTATCCAGCAGAGTGAACACCCCGATATATCCAATAAAAATGGCGACTTATAAGAAATCTTTTAAGTTGAAATTTTAATGCTTATTTTCAAAATAAAATAGCTTCTACTCAACTTTAAAAGTTACTTTTTTCGCCAAAATACCCATTTTTTTATAAGGTAATTACTCCAGCTTGAAGTAATAAATTCTAGAAATTGCACTTAATTCTGCAAGTTAACCAATTTTTAAAGTTAAGTCAAGAGCTGTGCAAGACCACTTAAATGTTTTAATTGAATACCGTAAAAAGAAAACAAATTCTGGCTGGGGGTGGATTTTACATTTATTAATTTATTCAGGTTCTTAATTTTTTATTTCTTAGTTTAATGAGATGGTCAGAAAAGCATGATATTTTTTTCTTCATGAAATATCACTCCGTAAGCCATACCAGTACAAAAAAGGGTCCATAGAAAGAGGAAAAAGTTGGGAAAAGATTGCAATTGTACTTAATTCCGCAAGTTAACCAATTTTTAAAGTTAAGTCAAGAGCTGTACAAGACCACTTAAATGTTTTAATTGAAAACCGTAAAAAGAAAACAAGAGAAGAAGAAAAAGCATCAGAGGTGCATATAACTGTTGCTGATATAATTGAAAGATTCAAAGAGGCTGACGAAACACATTCATCACTTCAAGCATTATTTAGTAAGGCACAAACTATATACATTTTTCCCACAGCATTTAGGCCAATTTTTAAGTTTTTTTTAAAGTCTTAAAATTTAAAGTAGTTCAAAATATCTCCAAATAACCATTTAACTGACACACTGACTTCACTCATTCTGTTGTCCCAAATTTTCTGTTGTGGAGATAACATAGCACCTTTAAAGCCTGTTTGTAAATGCACTCTAAAAGGATATGCGGAATCACCATTAATACATATAAGATAACCTGCAGTACCAAATGAATGCTGTCCTAATAAATTTAATAAATTAGAGTCACCTAACATTCCACTATCATATTTCTTTTTCACAACTGGTCCAAATAAGTTAGCTATAAGGCCATTTGGAACAACTACACATTGAAATTTTAGACTGTATTTTTTTATGTCCATTGTAAAGTACTCTTTGGTTTTTTCCTGGTCTAGTTATTGTTCTGACAGTCCCATCAATGAATCCCCAGCTGTTTGCAAGAGGAGTTCCTTTTAATGTAAGTAGTAAACTATTTATAACATTTCTTAAAGAAGCCATTAATAATTTTTTTTTTTAATTTCAAGATTTTTTTTTTTTTTTTTGAAGCGGAAATATGTAACTAATTTTATCTGAATACTGCAACTGCAAGTCGCAAACGCTTGATCCAGACCTTTGTCACTTCATTTGCTGTTGCAGTTTTCTTATCGTAATCTCTCTATTATCTTTATAATTTAAAACTTTTGTTTTATTTGCATTCATCTTAAAGCGTTTTGTTTTCCATAAAATCTACAACAAAATGAGAACTTTAACTTTTTCTTCCAAACTTAAGAATAAAAAAAATTTTCTAAGCACTGAGGCAAACTAATCTTTACTTCAAAACTCTTTTTATCTATTGTTTTTATTGTTGACATTTTTATGCATAACCATATGGTTTTAGTTTCCTTTCTAAGCTAAACACATACTGTACGTTAATAAAAACATGATATATTAATAAAAACACTGCTTATTTTGTTACCAATAACTTATTTTAAGTTCTTCATTACCTTGTATAAAGGTCAACCTAGTTAAGCAATTTGGTTCCATAATGTGAACCACATTTTAGGGTGTCTCCTTTACAAACTTTAACAATATATTTTTATGATGAAGATTTTATCCACAGTTGCAATGTAAAAATTCAACATCCTCTAAAACCTTTAACATATCAGCCAATCAACATCAGCCAAAAAAACAGACGGATAAGCGCCTTTGCCAAACCATATGATTGGCTGATTTCACTTTACTACTACTTATTAGCTCTGCTGGTTAAAAACTTATTCCATTTAAACCTTAGCAATTTTTCAAACTAAATATGTTTCAAACATTTGTAAGCATTATTCCATCTAGCCCTTTAATACAGTCTTCTTAAATAATATTTTTACTTTTCCTAACCACTTGCTTCACAACTCTGAACACTGCATGTCTTTTGTCCTCTAAATCTAGCATTTCACCTAAACTGAAGCTCACCTGATATAAAACTTAAACCCTTTAATCTCAGACTTCTTTCGCACTTCATAAATTTTTTTAAGATGCCTGACAAATAAATTACATTTTGTTGATCCTTTTCAGCAAAGCATGTATTTCAGATCATCAGTTACTTAGCATGTATTTCAGATTGCCAGTTATAAAGCATAACAGGCAATCTGAAATACATAAATAATGAAAATTCTAACAATTTTTCTCCTTCAGTATTTCTAGACTAAACCCCTATTCTCCCTAAACCTACTAAACCCATATTCTCCCTAAACTATCTATAACTAATGATTTAAAAATATATATATTCTCCCTAAACTATCTATAACTAATGATTTAAAAATATATATATTCTCCCTAAACTATCTATAAATAATGATTTAAAAATATATATATTCTCTCAAAACTATCTATAACTAATGATTTAAATATATATATATATATATATATATATATATATATATATATATATATATATATATATATATATATATATATATATATTATATATATATATTCTTAAAACTATCTATACCTAATGATTTAAAAATATATATATTCTCTCAAAACTGTCTATAACTAATGATTTTAATTAAGGAAAATAAATAAATAATGGAAACGAAAACTTTATCAATAAATTATATATATATATATATATATATATATATATATATATATATATATTTTTCTCAAAACTATCTATACCTAATGATTTAAAAATATATATATTCTCTCAAAACTGTCGATAACTAATGATTTTAATTAAGGGAAATAAATAAATAATGGAAACGAAAACTTTATCAATAAATTTTATATTTCTTTTTTAAAACAGTTTAATTTATTAAATTTTTTGCATACTATCAATATATACTTAAAAAAAAAACTTACACAGAGCAATTATTATAAATAACTTACTTGCAAGTTGTCAGTTTTGATATCTGAATTGTTCTTCCATGAAGATATTGCCTGTTCATAAGATTCAATTGCAGCTGGAATATTGTTCATTAGGATCTCAACTCCAGCAATACCATTTATTGCAGAAATTAATTTTCTATGCACTTCTTCTGACTCAATCTTTGCATCAGAAATAAGCTTTTCAATAAGTCTATCCATGGTTATATTACATTTATCAAAAAAAAAAAGGTTTGTTCGAACAACAGATGGATGACAACATGCTTGACGCAAGGGAAGCATTATTGACAAAATTTGATTAATTTTATCATTATGTAACTCTGATAACTTTGATGATTGATTTAGTGAATTTAGCCCTGTCTTTAAGTCAATTTTTTTTCGACATTTTTCGTGTTCTTTGAAATAAAAATTGTGTTCAATAGCTGAAAAATGCAAATTAGTTACAAACTCAGACATTTTAGGTATTTCTAATTGTGAGCCAACATGTTCTTTACTATTTCTCCAAGTAATTAATGCAATAAGGTTAAACAGTTTTTGATGATGACCAGCTTTATAATAATCAAGCAAACCTTTTCTCCACCAAAATTGTAAATTGTATGGTTTTACACATAAGAACATTAAAAGTCCATATATATCTAAATATATATTCCTATAGTTTACAATAATATATATATTCCTATAGTTTACAACTAAGAAAATGTGTTTGCAGTAAAAAATGGCTCTTTGTTTGTTTGTGGTATAAAGCTGACAAAATTAAGGTTTGATTATGCCAAAATGCATTAATTTAATTATGGGAAGTAATTAAACCACAAAAAACGCAAATTAAAAGACTAGAATGTTTTTAAAAACATTCTAGTCTTTCAATTTGCGTTAATGTGAATGTTTTAATTTGAATGTTTATATATATATATATATATATATATATATATATATATATATATATATATATATATATATATATATATATATATATATATATATATATATATGTGTGTGTATATATATATATATATATATATACATATATATATATGCATATATATATACATATATATACATATAAATATATACATATATATATATATATATATATATGCATTGTTGTCTTTAAGTTTTTACCATAAAATGTCAGTTTTAGGTGTTTTTTTAAAAAAAAATATGTTAATGATATGTTAATGATATATATATATATATATATATATATATATATATACATATATATATATATATATATATATATATATATATATATATATATATATATATATATATATATATATATGAGAGAGAGAGAGAGAGAGAGAGAGAGAGAGAGAGAATAATAACATTTAATTAACTAATAAAATTAAAATTATGTAACTCCAACAAAATTTAGAAAAAAGATATATTGTCTTTAATTTTAATAGGCTTTGTTATTGGCTTAATTGAATTGTTATAAATGTAAAACACAAAATAACACAAAACACTAAAGATATAACAAAACACCAAAGATAAAAAAAATACTCAAAATATCACAAAAATGGTCACTTTTTTATTGTTTTTAACAAAAAAGTAAAGCGCAAACAAGGATGTTAAGACTCTAATTCTATTTATATATTGGATTTTAAGACAGATATGTTTTAGCAGAGAATGGTAACAGTTTTTATTTTTTTATTATGGTTTTGTTATCCTACTTTCCTGTTATTATTGACTTAAATTTCTTCTATATTTAGCAAACTTTCACTGCATTGTTAAAAAAAAATATGTTAGTTTAGAATCAAACAAATATACAAATAATTTGTTTCCAGTCTGCATTATTTTGTTTTATATCAAATTTCCTCAAAACCGAGCAACCCTAAAATCTTGTCTAAAGTGAACATAAATTTTAATTACAAATTTTGATTAAAGTTGATTACCAAAAACATCAAAACTTTTAGGATCTTATATAATATCACAAGATCATAAAATAACTCAAATAATTTTTATTAAAAACTTTTTTATAAAAAGATATTCTTTTAATTCTCAAAGAAGAAATATTGCTTAAAAAATTACATTTTGTTGTAATAAATAACCGAAAAAATAAAAACACTGGATACTGGTCATTTCGTTGGTGGTGTTTTTATTCGATACTGTTAATCAATTTCTAAACTTAAACATTACAGAATCTGAGGAGTTGCTTGTAACTGGTTTCAATCTTATTTTTCAAATCGGTTAGTTTGTTAGCATTAATGGTTACAGTTTGTTAGCATTAATGGTTACAATTCAAATAATAAACACATAGTTTGTGGAGTTCCCCAGGGTTCTGTTCTTGGCCTTTTATTGTTTTTGATTTATATTAATGATCTAAATAACTCTATGATAACTGACGATACTAATATATTAATAAGTCTCATTATTCCTTGTGTAAGAATACAAACTTAGTTCATTAGCTATATGCAAACTTAATTTCTTTGAAATTGGAAAAAACTGAACTAATATTTTTTTCATCTCCAAGACAAAAAATTTTATACAACAATCATATAACTAAAATTAAAATTATTAATAGACATTTATCCCCAACACACTTTGTTAAATACCTCAGTATTGAACCTCTCATGGAATTTTCATGTAAATGCACTCCGTAAAACACTTAATCGAGCTAATGGCATACTTTCAATAATACGCCATTATGTTGATAAAACTACCCTTAAGAATCTGTATTTTGCAATTTCTCAATCTCATCTCAACTACTGTTGTCAAGTTTGGGGACAAATTGGCAACTGTAATACTAATAAATTGTTATCAGCTCAGCACCAATCAATCCGAATAATTAATTTTCAACTCCATAATACAGAAACTTCAAAATTCTTTAAAAAACTTAAAATTCCTACCTTGTCAGCTTAATTTTAAATTTAACTTAAATTTCCTACCTTGTCAGTTAAATTTAAAAATCTTCTTTTTGTTTTTGACTCCCTTAATAAAAATTTACCTACCTCTATTACAACCTTCTTCACTGAAACTCGATTTATACATTCTCATTTAACTAGAAACATCAATAATGGAAAACTAAATGTACCTCACTATAAAACTTTGAGGTATGGTAAGTATTCAATTACACATCAGTGCATCAGTGAATGAAATCGAAGTCTTGTGTGCATTGTGAACGAGTTTGAAAAGTTAAAACTTCAAAATAATTTATCCTCATTTCTTTTTTTAAAACAAAATAAATTTAAACAAATTCTAAAAAAAAATTAATTTTAATTTTTTATCATTATTAACTACTTTTCTTTTTTTTTTATTTTTACCTTTTATTTTTACAGAAACTTTATTATTTTTGTCATTAATATTTATTACTTTATTACTGCTGTTTTTATTATTACTATTATTATTACAATTATTATAAATACTATTATTTTTGCTGTTACTTTTGCTCTATTAATGGATAAAGTTATTATTGTTATTATTATTATTTTTTAAATTAATATTATTAATATAATTATTTGGTGACACTCCTTTGATCAGGATTCTGAATGAGTAACTTGTTCCTCAATCAATTATTGAGGAATTTATTCTTAACAATTATATTTTGATTTTATTATTTATATTAGAGATATGCTTATTCTTATTGTTTTTATTATTATTGCTATTGTTGTTGTTACTATTATTATTATTATTGTTATTATTATTATTATTATTATTATTATTATTATTATTATTATTATTATTATTATTATTATTATTATTATTAATATGTTATCATATGATTGTAAATTTTGAGGAAAATAAATTTGTTGTTGTTGCTGTTGTTGTAAAGATTGAAAAACTTACCATCAATTTTTTTCTGAAGTGGTGTTCCAGTTACACACCATCGATGGCAGGCATTGATTCTTAGACACATTTCTACTAATTTTGTGCTTCTACATTCAACCATTTGGGCTTCATCTATACACATTCTCCAAAATTTTAAAGCAATTAATGGACAAGGTACATTAACATATCTTTTTTTGTAACGTAGTGAAAAATTTGCTAAATATAGAAAAAATTCAAATCATTAATATTAGAAAAATACAATAACCAAAACATAATAGAAAAATTTATAAACTATTACCACTCTCTGCTAAAACATAGTTAAAATCCAATCGAAGAGTGTTAAATGAAGTTAAAATTATATCATATTCTGCTAAATATATAGGTTGTATAAATTTGTGCTGTTTTATCCCTTTGTAGACCTAAAGAAATGTATTTTGAACTTTATTATACAATAGGGTGTGTCATAAAACAACATTTTTTGAAAATGTCTGATGATACTCCCTAAATGTGTTCTATATAATAAATTAATATTAAATTTAAAAAATTTTTAAATAAAAAAAATTTTTTAGGGTTGATCAAGACCCTTAAACATCAGACAGGTCCCTAATATTTAAAAAAAAAAAATTCTTTAAAAGCATATCATTTTGGGTCTCAAAAGAAATGAAACATAAAAATTTCAAAAATAATTAAAAAAAATTATGAAAACACAAATTTAAAAACTTTTTTAAAAAAAACTATGAAAATATGTACTTTTTTATTTTTTGTTAAAAAACTATAGTTTTTATCCTTAAAATTTAAACTAGTTTAAATTTTATGGCTTTTTAATCTAATAAATCTTTGTAATAATTTTTTATATAAATAATTAATTTATCTTTATATAAAATGAATATTATTTTGGAAAATTTTATAAAATTACACTTCTTTTGAGACCCAACATGATATGCTTTTAAAAAACTATTTTAATCAAAATATTAGTGACCCTGATGTTTAAGGGTCTTAAACCTCAAAAAAAAAATTTTATTTAAAATTTTTTTTCTCAAAGTCACCGATTTATGATTGGTTGATTTTTATTCTTTTATTTAAAGAATGCATGCCCAAACCAAAACCCTTGATTGATGCATGTACACTCAATGTGCCTATCCCTAAATCAGTGGATGTATGTACACTCAATGTGCCTATCCCTAAATCAGTCGATGTATGTACACTCACTGCGCCTATTCCTAAATCAGTCGATGTTTGTAAATAATAAACATCAATGTAACTTTCAATATACAACAATAATAACAACTTTCAATAATAAAAAATTGTTAAAAAACATTTAAAAACTCTTTTCTGGAAGTAGGACTCAATCCAGGATCACTTAACGATATAAACAAATGTGATACCACAATGCTAAATGCATAATTCATAGTCGCTATTCTTTTTAAATTTGTACAAATAAAACTTTCAGAATTAAACAATCATATTCACAGCCGTAACATAAAATAAACCAATCAAACTTTACTACCGTGACTTTGAAAAAAAAATTAAAGCAACAGTACTGTTGCGCTAAAGGCAACGTAATTTATTACATAGAACACATTTTAGGGGTATCATCAGACATTTTCAAAAAATGTTGTTTTATGGCACACCCTATTATACAATGTATGTTGTACAATGAATAAACAGTTGATCAGTAAAAACTTCAGTACATTGCACAATGAATATATATAAAGAAATAACTACTTTTATTTTCCTTTAAAATGCCAATATATTATTGTTATTGTTAAAAGTTTTTATATACATCTTAATTACTTTCTTTTTAAATTTTGAAGAAATTTTTAACTTTTTTAAGACACAAATGTGGTTTAAAACATTTCTTTTTTTGTTACTTTTTAATTTCTTTTGATTTTATTATTATTATGATCACTATTTTTTGATGATTTTGGAAAAAAAATTATGTTGATTTCTATTTTAAGGTTTTGCATTTATATTTGCAGTTATATTTGATGTCACGTGAGTTTTGCGAAAAAAAATTTAACATATGCAAAAAAATATTACCATGCAGCCTCATTTTGGTTTATGTTTGAAAAAAATGAAAGCAATAATTAAATAATAAAATGAATTATAAAGAAAAAAATTGAAAGGAAAGCAATAAAAGAAAATTATGAAGAAAAATCTGAAACATTTTTCACCATCTAAAGTAAATTTTTTGAATTTCGCGCAACTGATAGTTATCTCCCAAAATAATCGGATATTTTTTTATATTTTATCTGTTAATTTCATAATTCATTATTGAAGATTTTATTATCATAAGAAAATGATCATATTACTATATGTTCATTTATTAAATATTATTATATTACTAGATCATATTATTTTATATTTAAAGAAGTTAAGTAGAACTTGTAAATTCTCTTGTATAAAAACTTAATAACCTTAATTATCAGTACATTATGGTGTACAGCTGATGTGCACAAAATGATGCCACAAAAGGTAAACTATACCTGTGATGCTTGCATGGTAACAAAGGCATAGTAACAAAGCAACTGCCTGATACATCAAAGAATTATACTAATGGAGCATAAATGAAGAATTACTAGATGCTCTACCACAATACAATTAATCTTTTAAATCTGAAAGTAAAATACAAATATGTTTTTTGTATTTACATGTCTTTCTTAGAAGATTTGTTTTTACAAGGATGTCACAATATATAATAACTCTACTCTTTCTCTCTCTCTCTCTCACTCTCTCTTTCACTCTTTCTTTCAACAGTTGGAGGTTTTAAAGAAGGTATTAGTAATATAAAAGATAAATTAAAAGTAAAAAAACAAATAAAAAAAGTAAAAAAAAAAAAATTAAAGTAAAAATTGAACACAAAAGACATTGCACTGTTGAGAAACCAGTAACTAAACCAGACAAAAAATGAAAAACATTTCTGACTATGAAAAATGCAAATTGCAATGCTGCTAAATATATGACATGTGAAGCTGAATTAAATGTTGGTTTAAGCGAAGCTGATAGAGTAAAATAGTCAAAAAACTATTTTACATTGTTTCAAAAAGTTACTTTCAAAAATTTTTTTGATGTGACAAAACAGCATTTATTTAATCCAATGCAGAATTTGTCAGGTCTGATTTCATTTCAGTTTAAATTTTTTTCGTCATACACCATTGAGAAGTATTTTTTACTTGGCAAGTAATAAAGAAATGGCTGCATGGGTTTAGCTACACAAATGGTATTTAAAAGCATAATGTGATACATTCATCAATGCTGGTTTTGTCAGTAGTTTTGGTAGCAGCAAAATTTTGAAATTTTATTGTGCAACATAAATTTTTTTATTTTTAGAGCATATGGATCAAACAGATATTCATTTCATTTTTTCGGCAAAACTTATTCAGGTGCTGAGTTTGTTTTTATTCAACTGAGTTTGTTATTCTTTATTACTCCTCTTTGTCTGATTTAAAGTGTTTCATCATCTCTTTTTATAATACTGATAAACTTATTTTTCTTCCTTACTATCTTGCTTAAGCTGAACAGTTTGGGTGTCTAAACGAACATATGTGTATGGCTTATAAAAGAAAATATCAGGTTGTGAAGAATGACAATTACAGTGTGAAAATCACATAGTTTTATTATTTAAAATATGTGCATATATATATATATTAGGGCTGTCCAAAAAAATTTTTTTTTTCAGATTTGATTGCATAGTTGTTTATTTTGTGCCATTTGACATATTAATTAACTGTGCAAAAAATCTTTCCGATCAGATAATGTTTAGGGGGTGCTCAATGACCATAAAGTTTTACGAAAAATGTGAAAAACATGGAAAAAGTAACAAAGTTCCACAAATTTATAAAACCCGGTTAATTAGATTTTTCAGATTTGATCAGTTTTAATTATCTCTAAATATTAAATTCTGAATACAAATTATAATCCACATCCACTTTATACTGGTTTATTAGCAGAGAAATTAATGAAATAAAATACTGCAATACGACTAAAGTTCTGCGGTTTTTGTTATATCAGAATTTTTCCAAAATAAAACACTAAGATTTTTGACTCTTTGTCATTGATTAAAATACGAATTATAAACAAAAAAAATTATTGTAAAGGAGTAACAGTTTCTCAAACCGTTATCAACTACTAAGTAGGTCAACTCAAAAACATATGAGCAATTAACATTTAATTATCGTAATGTTATAGTTTGTGCAATGTTAATGCTAGCGAGGACTATAACTCTTCAGAGTACACTTTCTGGCATCTGGCACTCGCTTTCTGTGATCCTCAACCACCTGAATTAACCTCTGCATTTCAGATTCATTCCTTGTAATCGATTCATTAAACATCGACATTAAAGCCACAGATCGTTCGGCAGCATCATTTACTACTTTCAATGAATATACTAAATTTTTTCCTTCTTGGTATTCTGGGGAATCATTCCAGGTAGCTGGATCGTTGTTGAACAGAAAATCAATATCAACCTTCATTGACCGCAACGCACTTGCTGAAACTGATGTCACCAGCATGTCCAGAGATTTCTTCTCTAGACTTTCAATGTTCTTTAATTTGATCAACCTTTCAGACCAGTTCTCACCGTGAAATTTCATGTTGGAAATCATTTTTTGCTTCTCTTCCGTTTTAAGTTTGTTTGAAAACAAAGCTAGTGGGACCAATTCTGGTGAAAGGTACCACAAATGGTTTTGAAATTTCTTGACTGCTGCTTCGGAAATCGTTTTATTCACAACTGCAAACTGCTTAAGTTGCTGAAACAGAAACAAGTCATTAACAGGAGCATCGCTGGCATTTGGGCATGATATCCAAGATTTTACATAAACCAGACTAGCAAATAAGAAAAATTCACAGAGATTTTTTTCCTCTTTTGTGGTCAACTTGAACTCTTCACGAAATAAATAAATCTTAAAACAATAAATAACCTTGGCCATCCAGCGAGCCATGTGATAAGCACCAGGGATCTTGAAATGATAATTTTTCTCTTCTTGATCAGGCAGTTTTCCAAGTATTAACAGACAGAGATCCATGATTTCTTTGTAGTCATCCCTTGGCATTTTAACATGCAGGTTTTCTTTGAGGAATGCCATCACTTCATTTTGTAGTTCTTGCACCAGGGGTATTTTCATTCGAATGTCATCCAGAGGTTTAAAATTTCCTTGATTAACTTTGGGCCAATATTGCTGAAATCTCTGGAAAAGAGGTATGTTGGGACCAGATGATGGTCCAAATAGTGATCCAAACACTCCTGCTACTATGATCTCATGAACATGGTGTCTGCAAGCAAAATATAACAAATTTCTACCTATATGTTTCTCTAGAACTACACATGCACCACTTTCAGAGCCAGTGTTAGAGGCTGTAGTATCAAAACTCATTCCAATAACATCACCAATTATGTCCCAGAAATTAAGCAGATGAATAACTGCTTTTGCTTAGGCTTCTCCAGTTCCAGCTGATAGTTTTGCTATTCCAAGTATTTTGTCAACATTGTGACCTGTCACACCTACAGATAGCCGGTCAACATTTGCTTTAGGGTCTGCAGAATTTGTACGATCTATCATCAGTTTGCCATCCCAGTGGACGATTAATGGTGGTTTGTCCAAATCGCAGAATTCAGTTCGAACAGTGGCTTCAATGTTTGATCGATGATAGGTTCGTTTTCTACGGACTGTAGAACGTGACAATGATCCATCATCGAGGTTCTGTCCACCAGCCCTTGCAATTGCTGCTGCTAGTATAGTAAATTTTGTGTCAGATAGATTAATTCTGTCTAATGTTGATGAAACATCAGGCGAGTCAAGAATTGTATCTAAGATACATTGTCGTTTTGGAGTACTTGCTAAACTTGATTCAGCTGACCCTGAAGAACTTGCTTTACTGACTTGTTGTCTGTAATAAACAGGGATTTCTATCTCAAAATCTCTATCAACCATTTTGTCATTATCAACAGCATCGTTATCGTTGTCATCACTATAACTTTCGTCATGTAAAGGTTCAATAACAGGAACTATTGCACTCGCACCAGATTGTCTTTGCTCTTCTTTTAGCTTTCGTTCTCTCTCTGCTTGTTTCCTTGCTTCATTTCTTGCTTCTAATTTTGAAAGTTCTTTGTCCTCTCCAAACATCACCATTTTTCTCTGGCATCTCTGATCCAATAAAAATTCTTTATCTTCTTCAATTCTGATCATGGCTTCAGCATCCTTGTGGGCAATGTCAAAAAGTAGGCCAATGGTGTCTGTAAATGATTTCTCTCTTGATTTCTGAGAATCTGACAATCTGGATTTTTTTTTTTTTATTAATTTAAATTCCTGGACTAAAGTTTTCAACTTTAAGACTACATTCGGATGAAATGCTGTCGGAATACGGGCTTTATTCCAAATAATAATCAGTTCATCAACAGTTGTTTTAAGACTTTCAGGCACTGACTTTTTGGTTGAATTAAGATGATAAAAAAATGTTTTTAAAACATCAGATGTTAAGGGAAGAACTTTATCTGGAAGATTTGGCTCTGGTTGTCCAATTAAAAAGATTTCGGTTTGAAGTCGTGTAGAGATAGCAACACGAGATGATGCTGCCATTTCAATGATAACTGAAAAATTATGAGAAAATCAAAACTCAATACCATATTATACAAACTTATCATTCAGTTGTTGGTTTATGCAGCTGCAGCAATATATAATAATAATTATTACTAAAGAAATTAAATAAATATTTTCAAATTAGAAATTATTATTATCTGCACTTAATAACAAACAATACACTACCAGACTACCATGCTAGTTTTCTGTAATAGGTTACTAAGGTTAGGTACTATCAAAATATTAATACATTTGTTGTCAAACTGAAATTCCAAATAAAAATAACATTTATACTTGTAAACCTTTTTATTCTGTTTGAACAAATTCTAAATTGAGTTAAATAATAGTATTAAAATTATGAATACAAATTTTAACAAAATGATATAAACACAGTTGTTTTAAACACTAGCAGACATTTTTTAGTCTGGTGCCCTGATGACAGTTAATCTGCTGCACTTTAATTAATCTATATAGCACGCAATCAGACAATATTTCAGTGGAAAAAATCTAACTAACCAGGTTCTAGAAATTTTTGGAACTTTGGAACTTTTTCCACATTTTTGACGTTTTTTGAAAAACTTTATGGTCATTGAGCACCCCCTAAACATTATCTGATTGGAAAGATTTTTTACACAGTCAATTACTATGTCAAATGGCACAAAATAAACAACTATGCATTCAAATCCGAGAAAAAAATTTTTTTCCTGTGTTCACATGAACAGCCCTAATATATATATATATATATATATATATATATATATATATATATATATATATATATATATATATATATATATATATATATATATATATATATATATATATATATATATATATATATATATATATATATATATATATATATATATATATATATATATATATATATATATATATATATATATATATATATATATATATATATATATATATATATATATAGTATATATATATATATATATATATATATATATATATATATATATATATATATATATATATATATATATATATATATATATATATATATATATGTATATATATATATATATATATATATATATATATATATATATATATATATACATATATATATATATATATATATATATATATATATATATATATATATATATATATATATATATATATATATATATATATATATATATATACACGACAGTCATTTAGACCATGGGCCATAGTATAAAAAGATGCTTTAAAGTTAACTTTTGTTGTGCAGTCATGAGATCTAAAAAATTTTAATGTAAATGAGCGTTTTAAGTTGGCAAAATGTTTTTAGTTACATATAAAAATTTTAAATTATAATTTCAAATCTCTGTTTTTAATAAGCAGAGATATAAGATGTTAAAATTAGTTATTAATAACTTCATTAACACTTGTGCACAATTTTTTTACTATTTAAATTTGATATTAAGAAGACAATTGTTTAATGAATGTTTTCTGCTACAAAAAATATTAGTGTTACATAAAACGAGATTTTACTAAACATATATATTTTTAATAATCCTATTCTAGTAAATTTTAAATTTGCCTATAAATCATTCATGTATTTATTATATTTGCAGCAAAAAGTTACGAGAAGATAAATAAAAAGGTTCAAAGAAAAAAAAAGTAACTAAGTACAGTTAATAAAAAAACTATTCTCAGTTAAATACACCAATTATTATATATTTTTAACTTATTATAAAAATAATATATTAAATATTTTTATTGAAACAATAATAAAACAAGAACTTCAATCATTTATGAATAAGAGGTTTTTAACCACCAGTAAAATAAAAGTAATTTAAATAGGTGAAGCAAAAAAAAAAGTTATAGTTTACGCCATAAATTCTTCAACAAAGCAAATTAATGTAGCATGGCGTAAACAATAAAACTATTTTAAATGCTTATTAATTTATACTATTTTAAGTTTTAAGTTTATATTATTATAAATTTAAATTATTTTATGAAATTTTTGTATATGGATTTTCTAAATTTCATCATGATTATTTGTTAAACATTGTTTTTCAAACTCTGATTTTTAACTTAACTTCAATGACATTTTTATAAACTCCTCATTTTTGATATTGTTGACTTTTATCCTTCAATAAACGAGAAACTTCTTATCGACTCTATTTGCTTTGCCAAACAGTATGTTACCATTGCTAACAAGCACAAATCTTTGATTCATCATGCACGGAAATTCTTGTTATTTAACGATAACGAAGTTTGGATAAAAAAATTAGGCGATTTATTTGTATGTGAGTTGGTTGGAATTTTCCTTCTTTTCCAAATTTCTTAGTTTTATAACAACTTTAACTTTAGGCTGTATAGAGATAATGGGTTGGCCATAATTAAAAACGCCAGCAGTCCACGAATGGAAAAAGTTAAAAAACATTTAACTCAGATATTCAAAAGTAACAGCCTTAATTTTTCTATTCAATGCAACAAAAAATAGTGAATTATCTCGATATTATGTTAAATCTTAATGAATGCAGCTTAAAACCTTACCATAAACCTGAAAGTTTGTTAAACTATATCCATGCCAGCTCTAACAACCCACCAAGTTTTTAAAACAGCTGCCTACCTCTATTGAACAATGGTTATTATCAAACTCCTCCAGCAAAATAATTTTCAAAAACTCTTCTCCTATTTAAAAAAAAGTCCTTATAAAGTCTGGACATAGCAGCAATATCCAATATCGTCCTAATTTAAATTTACAAAAAAACTAATCATCATCTCTATAATAATAGCCAAATGAATATTATTATTAGTGCGCATAGTTACACATTGTTACGCCTATTGTTCGTTTTGTTAATTACGGTTCTGCATTATGTAAAATAAACTATTTCTTAGTTTTTAAGTTGTTTCTAGACTTTTCTAAGCGCATTTATAAATTCCATGCGTAAAATCAGTGAGCAAATTGGAGCTGATACACTTATTTTCAAGAAGAATTGATGTTGTTTATTTTTTAAAATAAAAATTTAAATAATTGTTAGTTTGTTATGTATATATATGTATATCTATATGTATTTTCTCTTAGCAAAAATAGGTCAGAATAGAAAAACAAAAAAAAAATTCTTCTAGAATTTGTCAAAAGGGAGTTGTGTTATGCTTTATTTTAAGGTATCTAAATATGTATTTATTTTTCATTTTTTAGAATAAGTTAGAACTAAATTGATTGGTAAAATTAAAGTTTTTTTAGTACAATGTTTCTTTTTTAAAAAAACTGTATCAGTTTGGTCGTTAGTCTTTTTAAAACATTTTAGGCAGTATTTGTTTTATTTTTTAGAGCAGTTAAGAGGAGCTGATCGCTTATTTTCGTAAGTTCAAGTTATTTTCTCATACATAAATTAAGATTTTTGATTTATTTCAGTCTATTTTATATTTCTCTATATCTATATATATATATTTTCTATAGGATAAATAATAAGGAATAGAAAGTTGAGAAAATTTCTTCTGCAATTTGTCAAAAAAGTGTTGTTCTATGCTTCATTTTAAGGTATCTAAATATATATATATATATTTATTAGAAATTTTTAATTTTGTTCTTAAATGGTTTCTTCTTTTTCATTGCTTTAGATTAATATATACTGACTGATATAACTTCATTTTTATTAACAATGTTGTGCATTGTATCTGCATTTTTTGTTACATTAAAAATAATTGATGCTAATATTGTTTTATAGTTGTTAAAAGTTTGCATGTATGTTTATATTACGCTCAAAGTTAAAAAAGTTTTTGATAAATATGTGTATTTGGTGATATATGTAATATAGTTGTTTATATAAATATGTTTTTATAAT